TAATAACAAACACTACTAATGGTCTCCTAAAGAATCCACAGCAAGGACTCTCGTTTCCAACAACCCAATGTGCTAAGGTACTCCAATACCAAATGTCTTAGTTCTGAGATCTTGGGTTCAATTCCTAGACAATGACAAATCTTGAAACGGATATGGTATTTCTCTTGGGGAAGCAGAGTAGTCACTTAGTAAATTCTCCATATTAGTAGAATAACTCCGCCCCCACATTTCTTTAGCCTTTCCACCCATCTAGGCCACTAGATCCAAGTAGGGAAAGGGTCTGGGATACAACCCTAGTCATCATATTTTGCTTTCCCACATCTCCACTGCCTGGCAAGGATTGCAACTTATGGGGGAAGGCACCATGTCTGTTTAAAACGTCCTTATATGATCTGACTGGCTGAGAACAGCCAACATTGCAGTCCCGTGCTATGGGATGGGGAGGCAAGAGCTAGGAGAGGAGCTGGGGCACACAGCCTCTTACCATCATTGTGGACCCCTACGACAAGGTAATCTCCCATGGCCCGGGCCTGACGCAGCTGGTTTGAATGCCCATAATGTACCATGTCATAGCTGTGGAAATAAATGGAGGTATCAAGCCTTGTACCTGGTTGACAGGGAGGGACATGTTTGAGTTGGGGAAGCAGAGTTCCCCTTTTGTAGCCTCTTTGGGGTAACCCCCTATGGAGCCTCGAGCTATCACAAATGAAGATGAGTAGTGAGGGCAGATTAGGGTGAAAGGAAGGTTCAGGAAATAAAAGCCAGGCTGTTCAACAGCTTAGACATGGAAGGTTTTAGGAGTCTTGACAAAGTCATGTGAAGCCAGAGAAACTCAAGCGAAACGAAGGGCAGGATCCTTATTGCCAAACCTAATACCAATGTGGGAATTCATTACTAGGGTTTGGCCATGTGATCAAGTTAGGCCTATAAGGATTTCAGGGTGATCCCCTAAGGAGTGATGAGTAGCACTGTGACTCCTAATCTTTTCTTAGTTGTTAGATTTCCAAGAGGAACTACATAGCATGTTTATTTCTAAAATTTAAACTTAAATTAATCTTGTAGTACACCTTGAGGAGGCATAGAGGGGGTGTTATTATTTTGGAGTCTGATCTTGGCATAATGGGGGCATACCATGCTCTTTCTTCATCAAGAAAGCTTATCCAAGAACTATCAGGCCTCAGTTAGGTTCACAATCAAAGACCTAGCTCCAGGGAAGGCTGAATCAAAACCCAAAAAAAGCCAATTAAAATGTCCCCATGAAAGCAAAGAGGACTGAACAGAAGAAATGGGAGTGGAGGAAAGGGACAGAAAGGTGAGATTAGAAGGGAAGCTGAAGTGGGGTGAACTTAGGGAGTATTGAATACTGGGGATTTTGATCAAACAGAGGCCCTTTCATAAGTAAAGTCCACAGGGTACATTCCAGAGTCCACATGATAATAGGGGCAGAATGGCAGCCTATGTGAAGACCCATTTCTCACTTTCTCTAGCCCAATATGAGTTAATGGAACCACTGGTTTTGCTTAAAAAACTCTGGATTGACCGTGTGGGAGGGCATAGTACAGGAATATGAAGTACCGATGTGGTTTTGTTCCCAGAGTCTCTAAATTTTTATTAGATATAGGATTTTTTTCAGTTCTTTATTACTGCCATCCACTGTCCAGAAACTCCAAACTCTCCACTTACTAAAACACTAGAAAGGTAACTATGGAATAAAAAAAAATTCCCTATAGGACAGAGTACCTATTATTTGGGTTGTTTTGATACAGCCTAGTTTGGGCCCCTGGAAGTGTTCCCAGAATATACTGGGAAGAACAGCAGTAGAACGTGAATCTGCTTCTGATAATTCAGCAATTGTGTGTGAGCAAAGGTCAAATACTCACTACCCCAGAATACTTACTGGGATCAGAGGCAGAATACCTGGGTTATAACCTAAGTATCCTGTTGTCAATAGTATCTTGTTTCAGCATCTCTCTCTCTCTACAGAACACTAACTTCTCTTTAACTGAGACATGTGGGTGTATTGAACTATAGAAAGGAAAAAATACAATGCAGGCACATCTCACTTCGAGTAAATCTAATACATACTAGGTGAACTTCATACAGTTTATTACAATTTATGAAACATTTCATATAATCTCATTTGATCCTCACTAAACCCATTTGAGGTTGGTGGTAGTACAAAGTAGTAGAGGTTAAGTGACTTTTCCAAAGTTACATAGCTGGCAGAGTTCAGATTATTGCCCAGGTCTTGATTCTAAATCTAGGGCTCTTTCCACTACCCCAAAGCTGCCTCTGCCTATGAAAATCCAGATCTGTAAAACCTTTGAGAAGTGGACACTCCTTTACTGGAATATGAGATTTTGTATAATCTACGTACTGGAGCACAAGGCCTGTACGGCATTTTAAATGGTTAAAATGACAAAAACTTGACTCACACACATTTTCTGAAACATATGCAACTGTACAATATTAGACATACCAACAGAAACATAAAAATTTTAGCTATTATACTGAGCCAAATGTTTTATATTAGAACAAAAGCAAATAGAGCTTGGCTGGACCTTTCTGGGGGAAAAACAAAACAAAACAAAAACCTAAATGTCTGAGGGAAACTTTCTGGAGCCCTGCAAATGCTCCCCCACAATTTTAAATATTCTTAATAAATACTAGTATGCTGCTTTTTTCTTGCAATCATCTGAAAACAAAGTGCTTAGTGTACTCATAAAAGACTACCAGATCTGGGGCTAAAAGCCAAGAATTCTCAACTTCCCCATTCACTTTACCACTATCTCCCTTTGGAAGGATGAAAGTCAATCTCTTCATCTGAAATGTTTTTCTGTGTTCACATGAATCTGAGCAAGAGTCCTAAATGTGAAGAGTGAAAATTTTATGCACCTCTTGGTAATACTTCAGAAACAGTAAAGTATCCCATGTCTCCATGTCACTAGGGATCTGTGAAATCATATGGGCCAAATTCCTCAAAAAATCACACACAAGAAAATCAGGCATCAAAACCATGTTTCTACCCACTTTCCCAACCCAAAACATTCCTTTGAATCTCAAATTCAAAGTCCTACAGCAAGAAACAATCTCCCTCCCCCCCACCGGAATATCAAAAGAACCAGTTTATCTTAGTTTATCTTATTTTTAAGTAAAGGGCTGGTCCAAAAGTCCACCTTATCCTACGACGATTAGCACTCATATAAGGGAAGAAATAGCTAATCTTGAGTTTCTCAACAGAAATCCAATCTCTTATAACAATAAATTCTCTGTAAATGCCTTTTCTCTTGGTTCTTGCTTACAATCCTGTTTCCTTTTCCCTGTTCAACTCTCTGGCTCTCCAGCATAGACATTGCTGATTCCTTGACCTTTTCTTGGCTCTACCCTGCTCCAGCGGCTCAGGGCTCCTACTGCCCGGACCCCAAAGGGTCACTTATTCAATGGTTATTGCTATACAGCTGAGGGAGATATGGAAAAATACATGCAGTTAGCTTGGACTTTTTTTCGCTGAGTTGAGTCCCTGAGAACTGAGCCCCGGCGCACGTTTCCAGGAAGGGCAGCCCCACTCGGGCCGGACACACCACCGAACCTGCCCTGGGCAGCCAGGAGCCCCGGCTCTCCGAGGAGTCCGGAGCCGACCGGCTGTCCGCACCAATCGTCCGGGCTCCCCCGGGTCCGAGTCCCGGCGGGGCTAGGGGCTGCTACGGGACCCGGCGCAAAAACGTCGCCCGGCAGACCCGGAGTTTAAAGACCCGCAGCTTCGGGCAAGACCCGGGGCACGTCTCCCGGGGGGGGGGCCGGGGGCGGGCCGCCCACACAGGGCGAGGCGGGGCGGTCCGCTGTCCGCGGTCCGCAAGGCCCCGGGGCGGCGGCAGGGAAAAAGGAGGGAGGGAAAGGGGAGAGAAAGGAGCGGGCGGGCGGAGGCTGGCACAGGTGGGCAGCCGGCCCGACCGGGGGGCGGGCAGGGAGGGGTCTCGGGCCGCCCCGCTCTGCCCTCTCTGACCCACGTTCTCACCAGCCGTCGCACCAGACCCGCACGGTACGCTTGGTCCCCGGGCCGAGGTTCTTGGAGGAGTCCGCGGTACCATGTCCGTTTCGGATCATGTCCCGGCGGCAGCAACGGCTCCAGCCCTTTCGTGTCCGGTGTTGCGATCGCTCGACAGACTGACTACCGACACAGAGCGGCCACTGCCGGGGGTGCCACGGCTCCAGAGCCGCTGCCCCCGCCCCGCGCACGCGCCCACAACCGTCACGTGGGGGCTTACCCTGCCGCACCCGGCCAATCGCAAAGCGAGGAGCTCCTGGCCCGACAGCCCCGCCCTCGCTCCTCGCAGCAGGCCACGCCCCTCGGCGTGCTGTCACTCCCTTCTCTTCCTGCGGCAGCCGGTTGGAGGACGCCCCTCGCTCACCAAGCCCCGCCCCTAGTCCAGACAACGTGTACCCGCGGTCCCTGAATTCCCCTCCTAGAACAGGAAAACCAAGAGTATCCTTGTACTGGGATCAAGGAAGGCGCTTCCCTGCTTCCCCACCCAGCCCCTCTACAAAAACCGGTGTCTAGCAATGGGAAACCTTGCCGACGATGCCCGGTCCTGAGCACACGAGGCCTTTTATTTCTATCTTCTCCACTTCTCAGAATTTTGGAGCAAGAAAGAAAGAAAAGGGTTCACCTAAACCAATCAGGCCAGTCAAGGTTACACAATTAGTTGTCAGCATGACTAGACTAGTACCCTGACCCTCTGACCAGGCTTGCACCTTCTCACATCACATCCCCTTCTCTTGTGAGCCTTACTAAAAGTATTGTTCCCTTTTTAAGGCTTTTACATTCCTCGTGGAGGTCACAAAGCTTCTTACTCCATTTAGTCACTCAGTTTTTGTTTTTGTTTTTTTTTCATATTATGCTTAGCAAGAATCTAAGGTACAGAAATGGATGCAACATGTACAGGTTAAGGCAGTCTCTTTACCTAGATAATGTAAAAAATAACCACACACACCCCAAAATAATCAAGGTATTGTAGAGTTTAATCGAAAAAAATGAAAGGATCTGCTTAGAGCTTTTAGAGAGGTCAAAGCCACCCTATTACTGTATACTCAAATACAGAAAAAAGATACCTATAGTTAGCAATATTTTTAGTAACAAGTGGTAGAAATACAGTTCAGGGACCTAAGAGCAGTCTGGTGAACTGAGGTAAAGGCAGCTGTGTATTTCTTCATGGCCAGCCAGATGTGAAATATCACCAAGTCCTTTATCTTGCAGAAAATTATTAAGTCTGCCACTTCCTCACTCAGAGACGTCATCAATAGACCCTAATTCATGATTGGGTGCAGTTTGCAGCACAAAAAGTGGTACAAAGAGCTAGAAGACAGGCTTTCAAGGGGGGAAAAAAACCCCAGATAAATTACTAAAAATCCCAGTACAAAAATTTCATCCATTATTCCCCCTTACCAGTCAACATGGAGGTTAACTTCACCCTTCATGGTGACTTCTGACCCCTGAATAAGGTTTCCTGAAGTTATTTGAAAAGTGCCAACTGTCTATTCCCCTACAGGCATGGGGCTACACTTTTTTCCTCTTTGTGCCTTTGGTGCAACCCCTGCCAAACCAGCCACCTGAGAATGGCACTGAGCTGAGTGGAGCCCCTTGCTCCTTTTGATCCCTGGACTGAGTCTCTTCTGCACTCTGTGGGGGTACCAATGGCTTTCGGCTGTGGCTGCCTTCTTCATCAGCACGGAGAGGAGTTGCCAGAGAGAAGATGGGGTCTTGCCACCTACCAAAAGCGAAAAAGATGTATTAGGTGGCACTCAAGGCAAGTACTTGAATCTGACTCAGAAACCATACTCTATTAAAATGAGTGGCTAAAACGGGTTCCTACCCTGTTACTAAATGATAAACCAGGGTGCCAGAAGTACTAATCCACTCTTGCTACTTAGAGGTGATCACCTTTTTGTCCGACTCCCTCACCTACCAAAATCAAAACCACATTAATTTACCATACTGGGAGGGAAGACCAGTCTGTAAAGTATAGCTTATGAAATATATTTTAAAGAAATTAATTCATTCAAACATTAAGCACTTGATGGTAGGTGCTGAAGGAGTTGCTAACTTTGGATATGACCCCCTGGCCTTCATAGAGCTTATAATCTAAGGAGAGTATAAGACGGTATAAAATAATTGTATTATACAATACACAAAAATGAGTTAGAGTTGTAAAACAAAATGTCAGGTGAAGTTCAAGGGTGGAAAGGGCTTCAAAGAGTAAGTTACATTTGAGCTGGGCTTTAAAGGATGGTCCCACATTTATGTCTGTATTGTAAACTAAGTTCACACAGAATCTGTGTATGACACTGTGCTGACTCCAACAAGTTCCATTACGAGGGACCCAGAGGAAGGTAGTCAGCATGCTGGGCAGACCACCAGATTATGAGATCTATAATCACCAAAAAAGTTTCAGCCTAATTATGTACAAAAGAAGAAAACAAGTAGATGAAGCATGTTTACAGTTAATGCTGATATGTAGTTGAATGACCAGCCTATAAAGCTCATATGTACATACTGTAATTAGTATATTACTGACTGGTACATATTACATAATGTACTAATCAGTATTGCTAATATACAGAATATACGCTGTACATACTGATTAGTGCATTCTGCAATAACCACCAATCAGTAATGGATTAATCAGTATGTACTACACTATATACTGTACGTATCAGTCGTACTGTTTAGTACATTACTGATTGGCACATATTGCTAATATATGAGCTCTAATGGTTGGCTTTTCACATCCAAATGCATATCGTTAAGCATTTATTTATTTATTAATATAAATTTATTTATTTTTAGTTTTCAATATTCACTTCCACAAGTTTTTGAGTTCCAAATTTCTCACCCCTCCCCCCACCCCAAGATGGCATGCATTCTGAATACCCCTTCCCCTGGTCTGCCTTCTTTCTATCTCTCCCCCCTCTTCTCTTATCCCCTTCCCCTTCTATTTTCCTGTAGAGCAGGATAGACTTCTGTATCCCATTTCCTGTATTTCTTATTTCCCAGTTGCATGTGAAAACATTTTTTTTAAAAAACTTTGAGTTTCAAATTTTCTCCCTTCCTCCCTTCCCACCCACCCTCATTGAAAAGGCAAGCAACTCAATATAGGTTGTACGTGTGCAGTTATGCAAAACAATTCCTTAGTAGACATGTTGTGAAAAACTAACTATCCTGCCCTCCCATTTATTCTATTCTTTCTTTTGACCCTGTCCCTCCTCAGAAGTGTTTGCTTCTGATTACCCTCTTTTCCCAATCTGCCTCCTCTCTATCATCCCCCTGCTCTCTTGTCCCCTTCTCCCCCTATTTTCCTGTAGGGTAAGACAGATTTCCATACCCAATTGAATGTGTATGTTATTCTCTCCTTAAGCCAAATCCTATGAGAATAAGATTCACTCATTCCCTCTCACCTTCCCCTGTTTCCCCTCCACTGTGAGAGACTTTTCTTTTCTGTTTTTTTTTTGAGATAATTTACCCCATTCTACCTCTCCCTTTCTTCTCCGAGTATCATCCTCTCTCATCCCTTAATTTTATTCTCCAGATATGACCCCTTAATCTTCAACTCACCCTGTGCCCTCTATCTATCTATATATACATACATATTTTTTTCCTTCAACTACCCTAATACTGACAAAGTTCTCATGAGTTACAAATATCATCTTTCCATGCAGGAATGTAAACAGTTCAATCTTAATAAGTCTCTTATGATTTCTCTTTCCTGTTTACCTCTTCATGTTCCACTGGAGTCCTGTATTTGAAAGTCAAATTTTCTATTCAGCTCTGGTCTTTTCATCAAGAATGCTTGAAAGTCCTCTATTTCACTGAATGACCATTTTTTCCCCTGAAGGATTATACTCAGTTTTGCTGGGTAGGTGATTCTTGGTTGTAATCCTATCTCCTTTGCCCTCCGGAATATTATATTCCATGCCCTGCGGTCCTTTAATGTAGAAGCTGCTAAATCTTGTGTTATCCTGATTGTGTTTCCACAGTACTTGAATTGTTTCCTTCTGGCAGCTTGTAATATTTTCTCCTTGACCTGGGAACTCTGGAATTTGGCTACAATATTCCTAGGAGTTTTCCTTTGGGGATCTCTTTCAGGAGGAGATCTGTGGATTCTTTCAATTTCTATTTTGCCCTCTGGTTCTAAATATCAGGGCAGTTTTCCTTGATAATTTCTTGAAAGATGATGTCTAGGCTCTTTTTTTGATCATGGCTTTCAGATAGTCCAATAATTTTTAAATTCTCTCTCCTGGATCTATTTTCCAGGTCAGTTGTTTTTCCAATGAGATATTTCACATTGTTTTCTAATTTTTCATTCTTTTGGATTTTGTGTCTTGATTTCTCATAAAGTCACTGTCTTCCAATTGCTCTATTCTAATTTTTAAGGAAGTATTTTCTTCAGTAATCTTTTGGACTTCCTTTTCCATTTGGCCAATTTTCTTTTTAGGGCATTTTTCTCCTCATTGGCTTTTTGGACCTCTTTTGCCATTTGGGTTAGGCTATTTTTTAAGGTGTTATTTTCTTCAGTATTTTTTTGGGTCTCCTTTAGGAAGCTGTTGACTTGTTTTTCATGATTTTCTTGCATCACTGTCATTTCTCTTCCCAGTTTTTCCTCTATTTCCCTTACTTGCTTCTCAAAATCCCTTTTGAGCTCTTCCAAGGCCTGGGACTGATTCATATTTTTCTTGGAGGCTTTGGATGTAGGAGCTTTGGCTTTGTCGTCTTCTGGTTGTATATTTTGATCTTCTTTTCACCAAAGTAAGATAATATAGTCTGACTCTTTTTGTGCTGCTTGCTCATGATCCCGCCAATTACTTGAATTTTAAACTCTTTGTTAAGGTAAGAGTTGGCTTCCAATGTGGAGAATGTACTGTCCCAAGTTTCAGGGGTTTGTGTACCTATTTTCAGAGATACTTGTATGGACCTGTAAATTTTCAGTTCTTCCAAGGTGGTATGATAAGGGAAGAGGTGTTTACTCCTTTCCTGGCCTGTGACCACAAGTATTCCTTTCTGTCCCGTAACTGTGAGGAGGGGTTCCTCTCCACAGCCACTACAAGCTCCACCATGCCATCACTCCTCCTCACCCCAGCACTACTGCCCAGAACTATGACCCAGATCCAAACAGGGGCAAAGCAAGAGATTCCTGCCTCAGCACTGGCAAAGAGATCCCTGCAATCCCTCTCTGATCAGCCACTGAATTCCCCCTCAGTCTGTGGGCCGGAAGCTTGGGAAGCAGCTGCCCCCCCTGGGCCAGGCTCTTGGGGAATGGAGCTGAAACCCCACCTTCCTGTCTCAGCACCGACAGAAACAGACTTTTCCCACTGACCTTCTAAGTTGTCTTTGGCATTCATGGATTGAGGAGTCTGGAAACCTCCACAGCTGCCCGCAATTCAGTCCTCTGAGGCCTGCTCCAGGTTTGCTGCGGCCTGCACGCCCATGCCGCGCTGCGCTCCCAGCCTGGCGCGATACACCTTTCTGATCAATCATCCAAGTTGTCTTGGGCTGGAAATTTGTTTCACTCTGTCGTTTTGTGGGTTCTGCTGCTTCAGAATTTGTTTAGAGCCATTTTTTTATGAGTATTTGGAGGGCTTTGGGGGAGAGTTCAAGCAAGTCACTGCTTTCACTCTGCCATCTTGGCTCTGCCCTATCGTTAAGTCTTAATAGGCATTCTTCATCCATCTGCTTTTTCCTTTTTCCTCTGTGGATAGTTAGACTGAACTCTGTTGAGTAGTTATAGAACTTAGCGAGTTATAGAACTTATTTAGGAGGCTGTCCTATATCCTGGGAATTGATATAATCAGCTCTGTTTAAGCTCCCTACAAACAGGAGCATCTGGAATATCTTAGTTTATTTATGTTATGAAATATATCTTATAATCCATTTACAGACTGGTCTTGTCTCCCAATACTGTATATGAATAAGGTTTTGCTCTATTCAGTAATCTATACTTTGTGAGGATATTTATAAGGAAAACGTCAGAAAAGTGACTGCCTTACAGTGATCTAGTGGTTTGTTACTTCTACTTCTCTGGAAGCAGTTTAGTCCATCTTGGATGGACACTGGAAGATGAACCATGAACTGGGCTCAGAATTGACAAAAACAAGGGGCTTGACGGCCTCTGGGAAATAGTACACGGTGGTTTGGTTTTGTTTTGTTTGAATGATCTCCAAACTTCACCTTGGATAAAAAAACAATATTCCTCTGGTAATACTATATATGTCTTTGAACCAGGGGATATCAGTCTCCAAAGTATTAAAGTTACAAATTACCCAAAAGGCACTAGTGGATGTGAGTAGGCTGCAGCACATTAACAAGGAACAACTCCATAATAATTACAAAGACACTGTCAGAGAACGTACTACTGGAAAAGAAGGAGGGCTGGATTACAGGAAGAGGGATAACTAATGAGTAGCTTGTGTACTCCAATGGTGCCCACACAATGTGAAGGGATCCAGAGGAAGGCCCTCAGCATGCCAGGCAGATCAAGAGCAGGAGAGTACAGAGCAAACTGTACAGAATGAGTTTGTGATGTGCATCAATGGATGCCCTACAACGATGTGATCATATATCCATCAAAGTTCTAAAGTTTGTTAATAAAATGTGTTGTTTTTTAAAGTGCAAGTCATATTACATAATGCCTAACATTACATAACACCATCAACAAATGTCCTTTAAACACAAAAATTACAAGGTCCAGAAGTCAAAGAATCATTTATAATTGAAATTCTTTACTTAAAAAAGCTGTTGATTTAGGAATGTCCCCGTCTTGATTAAAAGGAAAAAAAATCTTTGAAAAAAACCCAACAGAAATAACTAATGTTTTTATAGTAAAATGGGCTTTTTGATTAAGCTGTGCTACAAACACACAGCCCTTAAAAACCAACTTTTTTGTTTTTAGTTCCTTGAAATAAAATTCTTATTTCTACTAGCAGAAGACATGAAGAATATCAGAACATAAAAATTAACTACAGGCCAAATTATCTAAAATTCATCTAAAACTAAAGCTAGATTTCAGTCAACTGCAACTATTCTTAGAAGTAATTCTATTAGACGCCCCTTTACCTCAGCCATTACCTTAGGTTTAAACCAGTCTTATCACTTCATTAATAACCAGGCTGCAAGGAGAGAACAGTTTTTCAGAGGTACACGAACAAGCAGGACAGTTTTGAAACTAACATGATGAGGCAAGTTACTCATAGCAAAGATTTGCTGTTTTATATACAATTCCCCTCTTCTGTTCTTTGTATGAGGAAATGCTCATGTTAATCAGTGTTTAAGTATAGAACAAAACATTCAGTCTGAAAGAAGAGGCAACCATGTCCATCTGTACACACAAAACAGGCAACAGAACTGAAGGCTGCCTAGCTCAGGCTAGAGACGTAGGTCCTAATCACAACACTCACCTATTGTAGTGGGGGATCTCAAGACCCAGTTCATCCATTAGCAGCTGCATGACATCATCACATTTCCCATGAAGTTTCAAGGCAGCCAGGTCATCTTTTGGTGTCCACTGAGTACAAAGGGGAATAAATATGAATGCATTAAAAAATGCTTTTCTAAAAGCATATTGGTATTGGTATCTGCTGGCTCAGGGCTAATGAGTGATATTTGTTGATTTTTCACAGTGTGTTAAACCTAGTATTAGGCACTGTGTGGGAGAGGTGAGGTAGAGCTGGAAGGAGTTACTAAAATGGAGACCCATTAGTCCTAGGTTAGGATCACATTCTTCTAATGCCTAGAATGCTGGAATCCCCCCCGCCCCCCAATCTCTGGCTTTTGATAGCTTACTTAGCATTTGAAGCCCAACTTAAAAGCCACTTCTTTCATTAAGCCTGATTCCAGCCCCAAACTCTAAGCTGGGAATGATTCCTCTATCATCTGATCTTACAGTATTTTATCTTTTTCTTATATACTTATATTCTAATTTGTGTATTTATGAACATATATTTTCCATACCAGCATGTAAACTCTAAGCAGAAACTATGTTATTTATATTTGTACTTCTCCCTGTGCCTGGCACGTACTTAAAAGTGCATTAAACATATTAGATGCTTAATAAGTGATTTTTTGAAGTAAATGAATGGCTACACCCCTCCTTCTCCTGTACCTACCACTAACTCCACCACCATCACTCCGAATTCTTACTTTAATTAGTATTCCCATTCCCCTAAACTTGATATACTAGGTAGGTACTTCCAGACACATTTCAATTTTCTCTAATTACCTGTAAGTTTACTATGTAGAGCTTAGGCCGCCGGCTAGGGGGTTTAGTCATACACCAGAGACGTGGATACTTCTTCAGCACCTGCGCCAGGATCCAAATAAACAAGACTATAGAAAGTTGAGATTTGACTGAGCCTAAATGTTGAGGAGGGAAAGGAATAACAAATTACTGAAATCTAATCTGCTCACTACTTTTCTCATCTAGTACCTTTAAGCTGGATCCCAAACACAGAATTGTGTCTGCTTTGCTTGCTGCCTCGGTTGCTGCTTCCCAGTTCAGAGGTTGCCCCAAAATCCCCCCTCTCACCAAAGTGCACAATGGTATCTCGAAGGTGTGCCCCACACTTATGACAGGTCCGGCCTGTCTGGTGTCTGTGCAGGGCTGTGCGCTCTGTCACATCAAATACTCTCAAGTACTCTCGGTTGGGAGTGCAGGATGTGCAGACCTGAGGAGAGAGGAGGCCCGGTGAACCAGAGTTCAATGTGTTCTCCTTCAAAGCCTCTCAAGTCCCAGTGATGGTTGCTCACCTCAATGTACATGTTCCCATGAAGTTCTGAAATTGCTGAGCGGGGCAATCCACTCCGTAAATGGAGTCCATCACAGTTCTGGGATACTACATGCTGCACCTTTAAGGGAAAAACATGGGTGGAAAGACAGCAAAATGTGCTGAGGAATCTTCCCACCTCAGCTCAAGGGACGTAGCAAAGAGCTCACAACACCAGAACCTAGGGCAATATCACTCCTGCCGAAAGCCTCGGGATGTAAAGGCGAGTATGGCCAAACTGTGAGATGACGGTTACATCCTGCTAAAGAAGCAGGATTGAGTCCAAGCAGGAATTGGATAAAACATCTAAGGAAGTCTTCAGTAAGGCTTAGGGGAATTCTTTTAGTCATACTGTTAGGTATTTGTGAAGTAACTGGAATATCTCACCTGCACGTTAAACCAAAACAATGACCAACTTGCTGCTGTCTTTTAGTGTCATAAGCCATTAGAGGTCTCAGTGTCCCATCTGCTTTCCCTCATAGCCACTGAAGATTCTCAAGGTTTTAGGTTAAGAGTTAGGCGTTACCATAGTACCTTAGGGGAAAGCTATTTTGAGTTATTACATCTAAATTCCCTAAAGGCCCAGACAGATTCACTCCTGGCTTCTCGCAACTGAAGCTGTTGAACAGATACACTTGAGCAAAGTCAAAGGAGCCTTGTCTAGAATTACTGTGGCTTCTGAAATCCACAGAAGCAAAAAAAAAAAAAGTCAGAGGGGTACTATTAGTGCTTAAAGTCTTAGGATGAAAGCTGGCCACCAGAAAGACGTTTCAGAGATCCTAGTAGAGTAGTAGAAAGGCCTGGGGATGCCTAGCTCACCCTGCTAGCCAGGCAATAGAGAAGATTATATCAGGATGACTGAAGCAGCACAAACCTGGAAACTAAACCCATCCAGGAGGGCTTCTCAAAAGGGTGAATCAAGACGTTTTGGAACAATAGAGAAGAAACAAAAAAAGTTAGGTCCTCTCCTTCAGGCCCTGGAAAGTAGAAGTGCTAGAGACCCTGGACTCTTACCAGCTTCTGCTCATGTAAGCGGGCGATGCTCATGTGGGTGAGGGTGGGCTCCGCCTCACTCAGATCGGCAGCACTGCCAGATGGAAGGGAAAAAGGGAAAGGTGAGGAGGAGCTGCCAAGTTCAGGTTCACACTACATCTGACATCCCTCCATTTCACAGGGAAGGCCTCTGTAGCCTGCCTAGGAGGTAGAACAGGGGCAGAGAATTAACTTCTGCATTATGCTTGCTTACCTAATGCTCCTCCCTTTCTGAAGCAATGTCCACACTCCATTTGGGCCCCGGTAATCTGGGATGGAAGCTGCCTGCATGACCAGGAAATACATAAAAGAAAAGACAAGCAAGAGGAAGGGCGTCAACTGTAGCTACTGGCAGAACTCCAAGAATAGGCAGCAAAAACTGTATTGCTGTTACAAAAAGTCATTATACAATTCTATATGTACACTCAGCACTTTGAGATAAAAGATTATTTCATGCTTTGTATTTTCATCCCTAGTACCTAATACATAGTAGGTGCTTGATAAATGTTTGTTGACTGAAGTCTTCAACTACTGAATCAGGATAATTGGTGACTTATGAATCCCTAAGTTGGGGAGGATTGTGCTGTTCAAATTCTTACTGCCAGATACATTTTCCTTCAAAATAGTTTCTACTCCCAGGGTGGTTGTAAGAATAAAATGAGATAATACTTGTAAAGCACTTGGCAAATTTTTAAAGCACTACATAAATATTAGCTATTACTATTATACTTCTAAATAGACACTTTAGACCCTAACAAGATAGAATGAAAATTAACCAAATTTTCTGAGTTTCTAATCTAACCAACACTACTTCTATCTATCTATCTTAGGGTATAGGATGTTAGAGGGTAAACCAGGAAAGGTGAATCTTCTGGCTCTTGAGCTAGATTTAATTTGATCTTTAAGGAAGCTATTCACTTACTTGCCGCTGCTATAGCCTGGGACATCTGGGTAGCATAGTGGATAAGAGTCTGGGACTGGAGTCAGGAAGACCTGAGCTCAAATCTGACCTCAAGACACTTACTGTGTGACCTTGGGCAAGTCATTTAACCCTGTTTCCCCCAGTTTCCTCATCTGTAAAGTGAGCTGCAGAAGGAAATGGCAAACCACTCCAATATCTTTGCCAAGAAAATCTCAAATAGGGTCGTTAAGAGTTATACACAACTGAAAGACAACAAAGTAGCCCAGATAATAATTTCTGTTACCGTGAGTAGTTCTGGTTCTCCCAGAGTGGAATTTCTAAAGCAGCAACACTCAAGACTCCCGCTGCATTCAGCCCTCTCATGTGCCACTTAACAATGCTTCAAGGCCTCTTATTACTGAATTAAATATTAATCTGACTACAGGGAACATAACAGTCATGTGACTCTTCTGGTTATCTGTGATAACAAATGTTTGATTCACAGAACTGTCGGTACTAAGAGTACCTGTAGAGATGTGAATAAGTTAGTAAGCTAATAAACATTTCAAAGGATGGTATATTATAAGTGACAATCTGTAACATGGTATGATTTTCAACATGACTAAAAGTGTCCTCCCTACATATTTTGCTCCTTATTTAATACCTCTTTTTCCAGTTTTAAAAACAGCAGATAATGGAAAATCCAGGATTCCATACTTGGGGACAGAATGCTAAAGGGTAAGCCAGAAGCAGATGTTCTTTCTACTGTATACTTTAGAATGTAGAAGAGAGGCAATTTTAGTGACTGAGGATTTGGAAAACTGGGTTCTAGTACCATCTGTGCCACAGTACAACTCTGACAAAGTCACTTTAACTTCTCTTGGCCTGTTTCCTTATCTATAAAATGAAAGAATGGGAAACTGAACTAGATAATGACAGTTCTATCTATATTGTCACTTTCCTTCCCCTCCTTTTCCCTCAGTGCTTAGTTAACCCTTATTACAGAATTTTAGACTGTGTAAGCTCCATAAAAGCAGGGAGTTTGTTTTTTTGCCTTTCTTGTATCCCCATTGCTTAACATCTAGTGGGTACTTAATAAATACTAGCTAACTGACTGGGTATTTGTTTTAATTTACTAAATTTAATGTAAACATTTAAAAGTCTATTATTACATACAAGGTACTATGCTAAATACTGAAGCTTCACATTCTCTTAATTATGAGATGAGTTCAATATTATATATTGTTCTAAAGCAATAACCAGCTGCTTTCTGAATATGACCTTTAGCTGATTTTATGTGGATCTCATTAGGGAGAGAAGTTCCTACATCTATGGTAAACCAATGGTCCCCAGGGGGCACCATCCACAAACCTACCATTCTATCCAAGTGACCCTAAGGAGATTTCTAGGGCCAATAGTTTCAGAGTAGCTCTTCCAGGAAGGATTTCTGAGTCAGGTTAACCCTAAAGAACACAACAATGTCACTCTTTTCCCTACCGTGCTAATTCCGGCTCCCGTGTAGATGACCAAGTATTTGGCGTTTTGGACAGCTACAGCCAGCTCCCTGACTTTCCTCCTTAGTTCCCCTGGGTCATCACACACCTGAGGAGACACAAGAAAGGTGGTCAAAACCCCCCCACCCCTCCCAGAACAAAGCACCGAGAACCAAGGAGCCGCAAATGATTTACAGACCGGGGGGTGGGGGGTGGGGGGTCAGAGACCCTTCTATCCTTTCCAGAGCCAGATGTTTTTCTTTTTCTTCTGAACTGGGAGCTGATCTTTCTCCCTGCTTCCCCCCCCAACCCGCGCCCCCCCCCCAAAAAAGAAGCATGCTCTAAACTTAGGGAAAAGAAGGCTCTGCGAGCCCGGCAGGGACAGTTCGGAAGGAGCCGGGCTCCGGGGGCCTCGAGGTCGTATTTCATCGTCCTCGATCCGGGGGTGGCCAGAGTCGGGCTGTGGAGCCTCGAGGCCGGGGAGAGTCCGGGGGTTCGGCTGGGGGGTCAGCTGGGGCCGAGCTGGGGTCAGAGGGCGGGCAAAGGCACACGGGGCCGGAAGCCGGCGCGCACTTGCCTCCTGCTGCCGCCTCTTCAGGCCCTCCCGGCGGCGGCTCCGGCCCTGCAGCTCCTTCACCAGCTCTTCGCTCTCGGCCAGCAGCCGGCACTCCTCGGCGCTCCGCTCCGCCGCCGCCTTCTTCAGGATCCGGGACACCTGCGGGGGGAGGGGGCCCCGACGGCCGTGAGGGGGAGCGCGGCAGAACCGCGCGCTCCCGAGGGGACGCCCCGGGCCGTGCTCGGCCTACCTGGCGGAGCCGGTTCCGCTGCTGCTCCTCCTGCAGGATCTTGTCCCTTTCGGCCGCTTTCCGTTCGGAGCGGCTCAGGCCGCCGGCGGCCATCGCTCCCCTAGGCAACCGGCTGCGGCCGCTTCCGCCCCCGAAGTGAGCGGCGCGCCTGCGCAGCTGCGCCTCCCGGCCCCGCCCCTCGCTCCTCCCCGTTTCACCGGGCGCTGCCCCTCCCTCCCCGGCACCCTACCAAAGAGGGAGGCAGGCGGTGGTCTCTTTAAAAGGTTTTTATTGATCATATACAAAATAAAGAAAACCTTATATATCACAAACATACAATATATACAGCAATAAATACCCGGGGGACCCGGCCCCATGCCGCCCCGCCTGGACAATAATTTAGCAATAAATACTGAGCTGGGCTGGGGGAGGAGGCACCCAGAGGTCGACCCTGGCTGCCCCGGACTCCCCCAACCCGCACCCAGACCCCAGCCTTGCTCGGTTCAAATCTGTAAAAAACCCCAAAGCATATTCCAAGGTGGCTCGCCTACATCCGTTCCTAGTGGCTTCAGCCCCAGGCAGAAGCCCTTGCTCAAGGCTACCTCCTCTCACCCCAACCCCAACCCACTCAAGGCCAAACGCAAGGAAGCAGCAGAACCAGGCGTACCAGGGGCAGCCTTTGTCTCGCCGCTGGAAGTGCTCAGGATGCTGCTCTGCCCCCATTCCCATTTGGTGAAGGCTTAAGAGCAGGGCCCACTGAGGGGACGGGAGGAAGAGGTGATGCTGTGGGGCAAAGTCCCCTCTAATGTGCCAAACAGGGATCACAGCACCCAAGATGGGAAGCACCCACCGTGGGAAAAGGCTTCATTGAGGACTCATGGACCCCTCCCTCCCCTTCCCACCATTCCCGACCAACCCAACTTGATCTCCTAGGGTTTTGGGTGGCTATGGCTGCTGCAAAGATGGGATGGGGATTCAGATACTGGCAAATACAAATGAGCACACACCCAGGCACAGGCAGACAAACAAGGGACGAGTGGAAAGCTGACTCTAGTGCATAGCCCAGCCTCACCTTCCCACTCTGGGCTTTTCTCTGGACCCATCTCTTCTGGGTCTCAGCTGTGCCCTTAGTAATCTCCATCGACTTACTCCCAAGCCACTGGAAACTGACAGGAAAGGAAGAAAGAGCCATAAACTATTACTCGGTGGCTTCTGGGGAGAAAAATCGTTAATGTGTCAGTTCCTTCCAACAAACCACAGTCTAAAAAAGTAACTCACAAAGTCCCAGTGCGGAAACTGTGCTGCAGGCTGAGGCCTCATGCTCCCCAGCCTGTGGAAAGGGAGCTTTGACCATCCCCAGCTGTCACAGAGGAGCTATCCAACATGATCTTACCTCCCATGGCAGTCTGTGGCCAACAAAAGCCATAGAGCCAAGCACTAGGAAAACTTAAGCAAACTACTGACAGACATTGCTGAATCATGAATAATAATAGTAATAATAGCTAAACTGAGAAACAGACTGTCGACACAATACATTTGGAGGCGGGGGAATGGTAAGAATCTAAGACTCCAGGAAGGTACCACACACCACACATATAGGTTACATTTCTACACAAATGACAACACATCCCCTGGAATAGCAGCAGCCAGTGGCCCTTGGAGTGTATCTGTTCTGGAGCTAGGGTCCCTCATTCAAGAGTGAACCTATTCTTCATCCCACAGATTAATTCAGAGGCTTGCTGTGAGCCCCCTGAAGTGGGTTGAGAGGGGTTTAGAGCAGGGTTAGGAGGACGGGAGAAATACACATCACGGTATTACTTTGCAGGTGAGTTTGGAAGAATTGGCCCCAGATGAAGCCCTTGATTCATTATCAAGAAAATTCAAAGGAGAAAGAAAAGGAACACAACACCCTCACAGCAGGAAACTTGAACAAATGAGGACCAGGAAAACACAAAACACCCACACGTGGACACAGTATCTATTCTAGAGAAACCAAGGTGAAGGACAAGAAGCACCCATGAAAACAGGGTGACCCCTCAGGTCTGGCTGGGATGGGAGTGGACAAACTCCCCTCAATCTGAGGAAAGCATTTCCCCAAATGTGTCAAAAGAAAGGAAGCATGAATATCTTGATATGTCACAACTCCAGAAACAGCAGCACTAGACAGGAGACAAGTACTCTGGTTCGGGCTCGAACATGCAGAACAAGCCTCTTCTCCCCCTCAATGGGAATTAAAAATCCACAGTCTTATAGACGTCACTCCCTGGTTCTGCATACATCTTTCTCCCTGCCTCATAAGGTCCTTCTCCTCAGTGCCCAAGCTGAGAGGTTCAGAGAACTACTCAGGTACAGCCCTAAGGATAAAACTGGCAATGACACTTAAAAAAAAAAAGGGTCAGTCCCTGCCCTGCTCTGGCATGATGTTACAGAAGGAATGCTAGACCCAGAGTCAGGAAGACTTGGGTTTAAATCCTGCCTCAGGCACTTACTAGCTATGTGACCATGGGTAAGTTATTTAACCTCTCTGGGCCTCAGTTTCCTCATCTGCAAAATGAGGGGGTTGGATATGATGACCTGAGGTCCTATCCAATTCTAAATCTGTGAGCCTATACGATTTTCCTCCCTTGTCTCTCCAAGGTCTACCCTAGACCAAAAACTCTCTTTTGGGTACCTTAAGTCATTCTTTGACCCTGCTGACAGCCCATGTGAGCTGTTCAATAGTGTGGAAGAAAGCAGATCATCACAGGTTCACTTAGAAGTTACTTGGATCAAAGCTGGTGAATTTGTCCCTGGCCCAGCTTATAATGTGCAAGTTTCTGAGTAAACATAGTCAGGAGGGGTAATTCAACCCTTCCTTCCCTGCAAGAGGTAACCCCCCCCCAAAAAAAAATCCTTCCTCCATCTCAAGGAATAATTTAGCCACACCTTTATGTAAATATAACGCCTTCAGCAAGAAACACCTTTCACCCCGAATTTAGTTTAAATAGCCATTAAGGTGAGAGGCTCTGCATTTTCTTTTACTGGTTCTTCCCTTACCCTGTACATTCTGGAGAGAACCCAGGGGTCTGGTTTAGTCTGTAGTACTGAAACAACCCAATGGGAAGAAGTAGACGATGCCAGTATTGCCAGTTAGGGCTAACTGCCCTCCTTCAAAGTGGGCATTTATTTGGCTGGGCAATCCAGGTACTGCTCAGACCCCCTATCCAGACTTGTCCCTTTTGGACATATCACCAACAAAAGCTTGCTGGGCCAAGATAGGTAGACCAGCTAGCTCTGTTGGTGAGGCCAAGACAGGGTATTTGGCTCAATTCCAAGAGGGAGAATGCTCTGAAAGTAGAGTGGCCAATCTCTGGAAGACACAAAGACCAAAAAAGGCGAAGAGGAAGGATTCAGGTCAAAAAGCTGCCAAGATGTTTGAGGGTGGTGGTACAGGTCGAGGGGAGTGGATGGAAGAAGGAACCAGACAGAGCACTAATGATTGTTTTGCATCAGGTGAGACTTCTCACCAGGCCACCCAAAAAAAGGCAGAAATGAGGAAATGGGTTGTTTTACATACCTCCACACCACAGAACTGGAGGGAATATATACAAATACCCTTTATGGAACCTCATCATCACTGATCCCATTCTGGGATAAATATGGGATAATTTCCTGCCCCAGATTCAAGTTCTGACAGATGTCTGGCCAGAGGGCTTCAGCCTCAAGCATCATGTTTAGCCCCTTCATCTGAAGTCTAGGAACAAAGTAGTGGCCAGACTGGATACCAATTACAGCTTTCATCATGTCAGGGAAATAATGAGGAAGACAGTTAGGAAGGACAGTTAATCTATACCCCAAATTCAGACCTATGGCAACTCCTTGGTCCCTGAAAGGCTACCACCCCAGGATACAGGGAGGAGAATGTGGAAGCTGCAAGGATGACTGTCTGCGCAGACAGCCCCTGAAGTCATCTCTTCTGCCATGGACCATCAGAAGACCAAGGCATAGAGGAAAAAAGCCAAGGTGTCCATTCATGAGTGATGAGAATGGTCCAGCCCTACATCTCATCAACATGATACATTCTATCCAAAACCAAAGCCAAATCCTTGCCAACCCTAGAGAGTATTCATTCCGGCCTTTGGTGTTCTGCCAACAGGGGATTCAGGATGGATTAGGAAGAGAAGAAGGCAGAAGGAGGGGAGACTGGGGAAGCACAGATCCTGCATCCTTCATATAAGTGCTGCACTAGAAGCTCTGGACAGCCTGTGCTGGGAATCCAGAAAAAAGCCAAAAGCAAAAACAGATCCAAAAAACAAACACAGAAAGAACAGACACAAGAGCGACACCCACACGTCAAAGGTCACCAGAAGCACCAGCACGCTACCGTCACACAAGACCTCACCAGGCACGGACGACACCACGGCCACCGGCAAAGAGTCGGAAGCAGAAAGGGCAAAAGAGTAAGTCACTTTTGGTACAATTGCAAAAGAGATATCAAAGAACATTAGGACTCGCCTTCTGGTCGGTTTTGTGATTAGGCTTTTTTTTCTTTTTTTTTTTTAAACTAAGTTTTATAAATAATGTCTGATAACTCTGTGTTTATAAAAACTAAACTCCAACAGCCACAGAGAATTGTCCAAAGAAAGGATTTACAACAAAGGATTTTTCCCCAAGTTCCTCTCTCTTTTTTAAATTAACAAAGTTTCTAGGATACTTTTTTTTTAACCTTTTCCATTTCTATGGTCAGATACTCCTCCTACTCTGTGTTTTTAAAAAGACAGTTTTATAAATACTCTGCAGCTTTTTCTTCTTTAGTCTTTAAACTTATATAATTTAATAGCTTCTTCAAAGGAACTTTTCTCTTTTCAATAAAGGACCATTTAACCACACAAATAGGTTGTGTAAACAGTGACACAGGACCCATTGCTAAGACACACTGTACACGCCCTTCACATATGCTCACAACTAGTGATTTCGGTCTTGTTCAGTGCAACGGGTCAGGCACAAAAGCTGTGGCTATTGACTCACAGCCACCACATGACACCCCGTCCTCCCCCCAGTACCTCCCATCACCTTCCCCACCAACCAGGGAGGCACCACTTCACTCTCCCCGTCTCACGAGGACATTCTGCACTTTCCCCATTAGAACAAGGCCCGTCTGTCCCCACGCTGCTGAGCTATAACAAACCACTCCAGACAAAACAATTCCCAAGGTGGATCCTAGCTCCTGACACTAGGGGTGCTAAGGACAGCAATCTGAGGTCTGGGAGGCAACCTGGGGCTCAAGAAGGGATAGATCCCCTCCTCTCAAACCGGAACCTCCCCTCCCCAGAAACAAAGGCGTCCTAGCACACTCTCTCTATGCCAACGGGGGGCACATTGGGACTCCATGTCCACACGGCCTTGGTACCCAGAGGAAGGAAGGGGGCCACCCCATGTCACCGCCGCACCGACCAATCCCAACGCACGAGACACATGACGATAATGATGAAATCAAAGGGGGCTCAGCCCGGCACCCCCGGGGTGGGAGGTTGTGCTTTGCAGGGAAGAGGTGGGAGAAGAGAAGAAGGAAGAGAGGTGGGGACAGGGCTGTTGAAACTGCCTCGTGCCTAACCACCCCACATATACCCGCCGCCGGGGAAGCATACACACACGTGTCACTACGACCGGGCGTCCGTTTTCGACTTCACTATTGTGATGACACTGGTGGCGGCCACTTTGCCAGGGACAAGGGGCCCCATGCTGGCAGTGATGGGGCCCCGGGCTGGGGTCACGGGGCTCCGAGCCACCGTCCTCGCAAAGTTCTGTAGTGCCTCATACTTGGAGCGGAGGGCGTCCAGCTCCAGCTTCATGCTGGCATTCTCGGAGGCTAGCTTCTCCACCTCTTGCTGCAGCTCTGCCTTTTGTTTCTCCAGCTCTTCCTTCTGGGTGACCCTCTTCACTCTGCAGCTAGCAGCATAGCCTCGGTTTTTAAGTGTGCGCCGACGTTGCTTCAGCTGAATGATCTCCTCCTTTGATAGGCCTCGAAGGTGCTGGTTCAGCTCTCGCACAGACATTGTCACCAGCTCCTCATCTGTCAGGCTGGTGCCATTCTCACCTGGCTCCCTCTTCACCTAGTAGAGTAATTTAAAAAGGTACAGTCATTAGCCCCAGGGACTCATTCCCCATTATAAGACACAAACCACATGCTTTTCTCCTTCACATCCTGCTCCTCACCCTTCTATCACTCACCTTCAAGGCCTTATTTCCTTTACTGGGGGTCGTCATAACCTGGGAGCCACGACAGTTACTCTCTGTAATGAAGAATAGTTGCAGAGTTAAGGGATAATTCTAAGACCTTTCCTTCTACCAAAAAGAGAACAACTTAACTCTCTCGGTTCAGTTGACCCCATCAAACCACAGTTGTTCCTCTTTTCCCTGACCCATTTAGATAGATTTATATAGCTATGATTTTTAAGATCCCTTCTACATTTAAAAATTCTTATGCCCATACCACAGTTTCCTATTCCTCAAATTGGCTGGGGCTACTTTCTTACTATCACTCCCAGTCCAGTTTCCAAAACACCTAAGCCTGAGATAGTGCCCACACCACAGCAGATCTCAGTTTGGGTCCTCTAAAACTGTGCTGGCCCTCTGCTCCTCCCCTTTGGGAACTGGGGCTGGGGCCAGGAAGGTTAGATGGGTATAGAAGGAGTGAGAGAAGACAGATTAAAGGGAAAAGAAGAGAAGTGGAGGTAGAGATTAGGAGGAAAGAGATCGGGGAGGGGCCAGCCTAGAAGGAAGCCAGGAGCTTTAAAAATAACTTGGCAGCATCAGAGAGCGGCTGTTCTTAGCGAGTCATGCTGACTCAGCACATCACTTTGCTCTCCCTCACCCACTTTGGCAATCCCAAAGTCCAATCAGTCAGCAAGGCCCGAGGGACCCAGACAGCCTGAGTCCATAAGCCTAGGTCCATATGTTAGGGAATGGAACATCAGTCAGCAAAAGGCATCTTGCCTGAAAGCTGAATGAAGGAATGCACACCTGAGTTCATTCCTTAAACACCTCTCCTACTCCACTGAAGGTTGGCTCCTGAAGGTGAGAAGGGATGTGGGAAGAAAGCCCTGCCTTTGAGATCCTTTCTTTTAACACAGAATAACCATGTCAGTGGCCCAGACCAAATTCTACTTGGTTTTCAGGGAAGTAGAAATTGAAAGTTTACCACTATAGCCTTTGAAGAAGTAAGCTTTAGACGGAGTTCAGCGTAAGGATGATCCCTGACTCCACTAGCCTTTTTACAGAAAGCAGACCTCACAAGACCAGATTCAGAGCTGGTAGGGACCTCAGAGGTCAAATAGTCCTTACTTATATATGAGGAAACCGAGGTCCAGAGAAGTTAGAAAAGTGCTTTTGCCTGGGGTCCCATATATAGCATAAATTTGGGGATGTCAACCTCTGTACTGTGCCACACTGCTTGCCAATCTTCAGCTACCTCCCAGCAGATGCCTCTGTGCCCATCTGCCAGGCCCTATTTGTTCATGGGGTAATAGTCCCGGCTCCTGTGGCTTTGGGTTGCAGAATCTTAAGAGCTCCCACTTCCCACACACAGTTTCACTGCAACCAGGGTATTTCACAAGGCCCACCTAGCACTAACCACTCAGAGGCCCTGCTTGGACAGAGGGTAGCCAAAGGCTGTGCCATTTGGGCTACTAATTACTCTCTGAATAGTATCTGCTACACATTTATGCCTGACTCCTGCTGGGAATAAAATTCCCACAGTGCCAAAGACAGAGCAAATGGATCACAGGCAGTAGAAGCTAACACCAAATAGCTTGTCATTTGACAGCCTTTTTTTTCTCCTAAGGGAGAACCTAGGCACTTTTATTTTCACCACCATGCCTCAGCATGCCTTGACTCCTCCCCACCATAATAGTACAAACATCTTTTGCCTACATCAAGATTTATACTTTTTAAAGTATTTTCACATTTATTATCTCCCTCTAGCCCTCAGAATATCTTGAATTTGTCTGCAAGTCCTTAGGTCCTCCAAAGTTCAAGCCTCTAACTACTTTCTAACCCCAAGCTCTACTCAGGGCTTAAGGTTCAGACTTAACAGGGGAAAGAGGGTAATATAAGAAAGCTATTTATTTTCATGACGTTTTCTTAATTATAAATTTTAAGATGTACCATTCCTCACGCTCAGGTCAAGGAAGCTCTTAGTCTAAGGAGAGTTTCAGTTGGAAAGGAAAGAGGTGTGTGTAGGGAACACAAAAAGAAATTTTAGGAAGAGACTGGAAGCCTAGGTAAGGGAAAGGCATACTAGGACTGGTTAGGCATTCCTTCTACAGTGAAACTACTTTGGGGTCAGAGGAGAACATAAATAGGTCAGGGAGAAAAGCTCCTTGGAGAAAGACACCTGGTTAAGGAAACATTGTGTCAATCTGACAAAGCTCCTGGAGCCACAGCCAAAATCAGGAGGCCTGTCTCAGGATTGATAGGAGTTGCAGAACAAGGTCAAAGGACAGAGAGATGCAGAATCGGGACTCCTAGACCTATATTAGGGATTTATTTCTTTAACGGAGATATGAAATATCTTAAGGCTCTAAGAGAACTTTGATCCTATAGCCAGCACTGGTCCTTTCTGGCAATGACTGAGGTGATCCAGGACCCACACAAACTGGATGAGAATAAGGCCTCTCACTTTTCCCTTGCACACAATGAGGCCACATTCCTAACTTTATCAGGGGTTTGAAAGACAGTACAGACTGGACTTCATGAAAAGGAAAAAAAAGACCAGTTTGGACGCTGTCCCTAGTGCCTCCCACAAAAAGGGCCAAAGACAGGTAGCCTTGGACAGCCTCAGTAGCAAAACCCTCTCCTCCTGACCTGCTGACTGCTCAGCACAATGATGACTCCTTGAAGAAAGATCACACTGAAAAACGCCAAGTGTGACGGCTGGGAGCTGAAAAGTGCCTCCTCAACAGATTTCACCCTAGCACAGAAGGCCTGAACTCAGCACAAGTACAGCCAATCCTCTTCTAATCAAAGGGGTGTGTGTGTGTGTGTGTGCATGTGTGTGTGTGTGTGTGTGTGTGTGTGTGTGTGTGTGTGTGTGTGTGTGTGTGTGTGTACGCTCTAGAGCCTATGAGAGCACTGGAGAGTATACTCAAACTGGAGGTGTGCGCTCAGGGTAGAGAGAAAGACTCAACCTGCTAGCCTTGGCCTTTAGCCCACCCAGAATACACACACATACACACACACACACACACACACACACACACACACAATGATGTCACCCGTAACTTCTTGACAAGGAGAAAGAGCTTTCAGGGAAAGAGCTGAATCTTTAGGCAGGTTAGGGGGAAGAGAGGCAAAGAGGCTTGGTCTCTGGGAAGCTCTCCAAGGTCCCACTGGCATTTATGCAAGGCAAATGATTCCATACATAAGTGGAGAAGATTTGAGGAAGTGGTGCAGAAAGCCCTAAGAAACCAGGTAGTTTCTGGATTGAGAGGGACCCAGATGGTCAGTAAATGAAAGAGTCAGCATCAGGGAAGAAGCTGTACTACTCTTAGTCTCCTCTCTGTCCTTCAAGCAAACTAGGCACCAATTCCCTCATCATCTTTTCTCCTTGCTGGAGTCCTGATCAGAGCTAGACACTGGACCAGACTTACCCTCTTATACTCTAGTAAGATCAAAAATTTCCTTCCTGAAAGGTCAGGGAGGAATGTCCTATCTTCATCAAGATCTTTCAAGAGGGTTCATTCTGGGGTTCTGTTCCATCTCTTTCAATCAGGTGGAAAGTTTAATCATTAGCTAAACAAGGTTCACTTCACAAAGGCCACAATTCCAAAGAGAACCAAACCCCCAATTCTGGTTCTCCTGACTTGCACTTTTCAACAAATTCAAGTAAAAAAAACACCTCTTACTTTCTTTAAGGTACTGTTCAGAGCAAAGAAAGGGTCCAAAAGCTAATCTAATCCCTATCAATATCAACTGTCCCTCTCACCCAGTGGGACCCCAGCTTAAATTAAGTCAGGCAACTGTCAGCCCTTTGTTCACCACTTAAAGGGTAAAAGCCTGGGTCAAGATCTAATTCTCTTTTAATTTCCAAAACCATGTGACCAGTACAACCAACAAGTTTGTGAAAACTTCAGTACCACCAGCTCCCTACATTTGTACACCTTCACACACACTCCTGCTACTCTCATCTCCTCTTCTGTGCCATTCCATTTGTACCCCACTGGGTTCCCAGCATCCCCAAGGTCTTTCTTCCCCTGGTCAAAACCTAAGCCCAGGGAAGTATGTAATAAACTAACTTAACACCAAAGTAGAAATGATTGATTAAATTTAAAGTGTTATCCCTCCTAAGGATATGTATTTTAACAGAAGGAAAATGCCTTGAGCCAAAGTACTAAATCTCTGGTGGCAGAATTTCCCACACCAATGTTAGTGGGTTAGTGGGTCTTTCTTTGTGGTGGGGCTAAGTGGGAGAAGAGAGGAGAGGAAAGAAAAGGTCTTCCTGATGACCTTTGGCTAGACAATCGAGGTCAGAGTGTGTGTTCCTACTATCAATCTATCCAGGTCCAGAAAATATACACATGAGTCTACTATAAACAATGCTAATCCCTTAAAATACCTATCAATCCCCCAAATTGGCTCTAAAGAAGTCAGCACCTTTCTCTCACCCACCTATACCACCATCTACAAATACTGGCCTCATGAACTCTAGTCAGGAAGTACTCCTTCACATAGTCTTAAGGTTCATGGGCTCTCTATCCTTCCTGCTCCTGGCCACATAGCCCTTTGCTCTAGCATAAGCCTCTTTGCACCAGACCACCCACGTTCTTCAATCTAGGTCTCAAGTCACAAAGTATAGACTGAAAATGTGCCCACCCTAAGCACACCCATACTTCCCAGCAAGTCCTACTGCTTCCTTCATTTGCCATTTTCCAGAACATCTGAAAAGTGTCTTTGCAAGCCAGCTTTCTCCCACCTTTCTCTTCTTTGCTCTTCCTCGGGGTCCACTAATACCACCTTTCAACTCTTTGCTCCCCCATATACTCTCCACACACACCCTCTTCTCCCCACAACTCCTTCCTTCACAGCCACCCAGTCTGATCTGCTGCACCAGTCATGTGGACAAGGTCCCCTGCCATCTTCCAGATGTATCCCTGAACTACTGAACGGTTTCAGGAAGTGTCCTTGACTTGGGACTAGTCCTGGTAACTAAAAAAAGTGATGCAAAGTGCTGTCTCCCAATGATCTGTTGGGGTGGGAGAGTATGAACTCAGGGCTCTAGAATCTGGTCTATTACTCTGAGGGAACTTTTAACTTAACACATTGCAACCTCCCTCACCCTGCCCAGGAGATTGCCTCAATTTTCTCACCAGCAAAATTTAGAGGTTGGACTAGATGATGTCTAAGATTCTTTCCAGCTTTAGTATTCTTTGATGCCAACTAAAACTTAAAGATAGCGCGGTCCACAATAACAACACCCTTAGGCTGTCCTTACACTCCTTTCACTTTTTTCCCTCCAAATTTCCCCCGTTAGTGCTGTCACCTGCACCTTCAAATCCCCCCAGGCATGAGGATGAGCCTCCAGTGACCTCATGCTGATGAGTCAGCAAGTCTTTGCACCAGGCTCTGGCATCAGCTTCAGGAAGAGGAGCTTACAAGGGCTTGGGCAGGGGGGTCTTTACTTCCCCTTCCTCCCTCCCCACCCTCGCAGTGCTCTTTCTTCCAGTCTTCTCAAAAGGCCCTAACACACGGGAAGATGCTGACACAGACACCTGATGAATCAGCAGCTTTGTTCGGTCAAAGCTCTCCGCAACCACACTATGCTACGGCCTTCCCCACCAACACGCGCGGGACTCACCTTCCCTGCCTGGCCCACCAGGGTCGGGGGAGGTCAGCCCTATCGAACCGCACCTCCGGTATTTACTCACGTACATTAACACCCCCAGACAGGACTTAAGCGGGTCCGCATGCTCCGGTCCTTCGAGTAGGACTCTGCAAACCGGGCTCATCCCGCCCCCCATCATCTAGAACCGCCGAAACCCTCAACTCGGCTTCAAGGGGAAACCGAGGCACGGGGGCTTGGCTCCGTTGGCGGGGACGGCGCGGCTGGACGTGACGCCCATGGGCCCTGCCTTGCCCCCACCCCCGGGGCCCCGAGGGCGGCTCCCGGGTCGCCCCGCCCGGCTCCACCTCAGCGGCCCGGCTGGTCAGACGGCCGGGGTGCCCCGGCCACTTCCCCGCCCGCCCTGCCCGCCCGCAGCCCCGGGCCCGCCCGCCCTTCAACCCGCGCGGTACTCACCACACAGCGGGGCCGAGGCCCGGACCGGGCGGGCGGGGGGCAGGGGAGGAGGGAGGGAGGGAGGCCGGGCCCGGGCGGGCGGAGACTCGGGACCCGGGACGGGACGGTGGGCTGGGCAGCGGCGCCGGGCCTGGGCTGCGCGGAGGCCGGGCGGGGCGGGGTGAGGCGGCGCCGCACAGCGCTGCGCTGGTCCGGACCGCGGCGGACCGGACCGGACCGGACAAGGGCTGAGGCCGGGACGGGATCAGGCTCGCGGATCCACAGCCGCCACAGCCGCCGCCGTTCCACAGACGTCACATGATGTTTGGTCACGTGGGCTCCATTCATGAAGCGGCGACGCGACCGACCAGTAGGGAGCTTAAAGGGGAAGGAGAGAGCGAGATGGGGATGGAGGGGGGCGGGGGCGCGGGGAGCGGAAAAGAAAGAGGGCGGGGGAGGGGAGGGGAAGAAACCCCGGTGAGGCTACTGCGCCTGCGCACTCCGAACAGCGCGTGCCCCCCCAGCCTGCTCGGTGAGATCCGGTCCTCCCCCCACCCCCGCCCTTAGTTTTTCTGCCTCATTGCAACCCAATGCAATTCTTCTCTTTGCTAGACCTTTCCTCTGTTCCCTCCCCACCCTCTCACCCCGCCAGGCCTTGAAGGCCTTCCAGCCCCACGTGTTGGGTAAATGTGGTCTCTCCCAAAGCAAAATAGGCACCCCGAAGTTTGTATACCCCGGGCCTAGGAGAGTGCTGGGTACAAAATAGGAGCTTACTAAATGCCTGTGGATGATTGTTGGTCTCACTTCTCTTTTTTTCTTTTTTTTTGTCTTTCTTTGTAAACTCAAGGATAGCACAGTGCCTGTCACATAGTAAGGGTTTAATAAATGCTGGTTGACTGATGTGACATCAGGCCTGGGTTTGCTGTCCAAAGAATATTATCTATCCCGTGCACACACAGACACTCCACCAGTCCTCGGGTCTGGCTCCCCAGCACTACATATTTATACAGGGAGTCCCTGAGCGTTTGGTGGCTTAAAGCTGCACTAAAATTTTTGGGACACCTTGTATATTTAATAGGGCTTAGAGATCGCGCTCCCACGTTCAGCTCAGGACTTGAAAAAACATCAAACATCAAACTTCTTATCTCTTAGCCCTATATTTAGTTAATTATCTTATTCTCATCCCAAATTCTAAGATAATCAAGGGATATGTTCTGGTATGACCTCATAAATTAATAGAAAAAGACATTGTTTCTCAATTAATTAATTATCTCATGTTCTCACCACCGGTTATAAAAATCAGAGAAACCTTTCGGGTTATGATGGCGGAATCAGAATACTCGTTGGTCCTCATTGCTGCTTCCAAGCTCTCCCTTCTCACCGAGTAATCTCTCTTCAGTCAAGGGTCATTCAATTCGTATTTATCACTCAATCAAGATTCTGAACGCTGTCATCATTATATTCATCCTCCTTTAATGAGTTCTACCCCCTTCTCTCTCTTCTCCTGCCCTCATACTAGGGGACTTCAATATACATGTTGATCCTCTCTCAAACACCCTAATTTCCCAGTTCTTGAGCTTGCTCATTTCTCATGACCTACTCCTCCTCCTGACCTAAGCTACACACACATAGCATATATATGATCTTGCCATCACCCACAAGTGTTCTACTTCCATGTTTATGAATCTTAAATGATCTGATCATAATCTTTTGTCATTCTACTTTTCCCTCTGCCTTACAGCCCCAAACTTTATTCCCTCTTACTGTGACTTCTGGTTCCTTGTCCCAGGCCATAAGCACTATGCTGGCTACTATCTCCTCCCTTCCTCATCTTTACCCCTTGGTGAACCAATTCAATTTTAAACTATCTTCTTCCCTTGAAGATCTTGCCGGGTCAAGCCTTGTATTATTCCCACTGTCCACTGTCTTTGTTCCTGCTCATAAGCTACTGAATTAAGCTGGAGAAAACCATGAAGCTATGCTGACTGGATGCTGACTCTAAATTCATTATGTAATCTCAACTGGGTCCTCACTGCAGCAAGATAATCCTTTTATACCTCCCTAACTGATTTACCATCCCACTCACCACAATGACTTTTCTAAATCTTTTCATTCCTCCTCAAGCTTCCCATGGCTCTCCTTAACCTCCAACAATCAGCTGAGAACCTTGCCTCATATTTCACTGAAAAAAATTGAGGCTATTTACTGAGAGCTCCTTTTTCTTACCTCTTCCTTCAGTTACCTTCTACTACATTAATATATAATATTTATAATAATTTATATTATGTATTTATAAGTTGATATAGATATTGTACATAGTTGTTTGCAAGTTGTCTCTCTCATTAGACTGTGAGCTCCTTCAGATTGGGGACTGTTTTTTCCTTTTGTGTCCCCAGCATGGAGCTCAGTTCCTGGAACATAGTAAGGGCTTGAAAACGTGCCTTTTCTTGACTTAACTTGTCTCTTTACCTATAAACATTATCTCCTCTTTTTCAGACTCCCTAATCTCATAGGCTTAAAGACGTTAAATAAAAAATCAGTGTTACTGTCTTTACAATTACTAAAAGTATGGCGATAGGGCCTGCTCTCCTGATTGATGACTGCCTCTCCTAGACTACTCTTTCAGGAAAGCCCCAGCCATGCTTTTACTTCACTGCCTCCTCTCTGGCCACTTCCTCCATAGCCACCTCTGACAATTTTCTCTCTATCCATACCAGAGACCGTACCCTGGAGAAACTTGCTTTGTCCCTTGGGCCCTGCTCATCTGATAGTAACTGGCTCACTGGACCATTATTTCAGGGAAGTCCCAGCCATAATTCACTTCACTCCTTCTCCACTTTCTCCCTCCAATCAAACTGTATGCACAGGTACCATTTCCTTCTCATCTCTCACTCTCCAATTCTGGAACTAGAACAATTTATTCAATAGTAATGTTATAGAGAAAAAACAATTTTGAAAGACCTTAGAACTCTGATCAATGTATTGATAAATAACAAATACAGAAGAATGAAGATGAAACACACCATTAACCTCTTGCCAGAGAGGCAATGAACTCAAAATACAGAGAGACATACATTTTTGGGCATTGCCAATGGATGCTTTTGTTTTATTGGACTATGCATATTTTAGACAAGGATTTTTAATTTTTTGTTGTTGTTATTGTTCAGTGTGGGAGGACAGTGGGAGGGACAAATTAAACACTTGAAATTCTTTACCTCACAACATTTCTCTCAGGAAAGAAGCCCTCTTAGTCCTTTATTTCTATGCTCAGTCTCTCTCCAGCCATGACAGTTAATAGTATCTCCAGAATGACGGGTAAGTTGACACTGTCTTCAGTGTTCTATTCTTTTTTTAAGAGACAGCAACGGGATGACCTTTCCAAGCCTTTGGCCTTTGGCTGTTCTCCATTGCCTGCCCAGGCTCCCTTGTTCAGTCCTTCTTTGCAGAAACCAGTCATGATGTATCAGAACTTTATTAAAAATGTTTGGATTCCACTGAAACCCTACTATACCCAGGTTTACCAGGAGATCTGGGTAGGAATGGGCACGATGGGGTACATTGTTTACAAAATAAGAAATGATGATTAAAAAAAAGCAAAGCTTTGAAAGGTTAAGATTCAGGGGCTCCTGCTCACGGACATGGTTAATTGGATTTACCTTGGGCTGCAAATTTGGGCATTTGACAATAGAAGAATACAAGGACTTCCCCATTAACTTTTAGACATTTGTTCATAATATGAAATAAAGTCATATGTGTAAGGTGATTATTGTGTTCTAATATTATATCTTTTCTTTTTGTGTATCTGTTTATATGTTTCAGATTCATCATTTGTTTTATAATACATCTGGTGGATTAACTATAATTACCTCTCAAATTAAATTTTTGGAAAAAAAAAGATGCAGTAACAGTATTTATTGTCTATGGACATGGCTTATTGAAGTTGGGGTTACATGCCTCCTCATGGCCAAAAACTTTTGAATCCCTGAAAAATTATTTGGGGTATATCAAATCCATATAAGTATATAAACATATGTACATATTAAACACATAATAGGCCGCATCACACAGGCTAAATGTCTAAACTATATATAGAACATAATATATACATATTAATGTACACAGAAATGTATATACAACAGTATATGCAAGGAAGAAAAAATAATAGCTAAATATAATAATATATATATATACAATGTAAACACATAAAAATACAAAGCAGAATCATATATAATTAATCAGGAATTATGTCTAATTATATGAATAACAATTCTTACTTCCACTCCACTGAAAGTATCACATTTTAGCTAATGCCCAGTTCAGACAGTCTAGTTGTCAGATTGTCTCTTCTCTTCAGAGTCCAATTAACTAATTGCTTATCATTACTTTCCTCTTGCTCAGCAGGGAATATAATTCTTACTGATGGAGATTTCTATAAATTGTTTTTATAGAGCCCTGACCACTCTTTGGATTATTTTATACACTGGCTAATTGCCCAGTCTCTCAACAACTTGCTAATGAGTAGATCTGTCTGTCTGCTAATTTGTGGTTTCCTTGAACTCTAAGGTTTCTTAGTAAAATTCTACTACCTTGCTGTAGTGTTTAATAATGAACTCAGATATCATACTTTTTTTTTTGCTATCAGAATTCTCTTGAGCTGACATCATAGCTAATTGGTAAAACTTTTTTTCCAGTTTCTCTCTCAATGATGAAATGCATTGATTGTGATTAACTACATCCTTTTCAACCCTGAAGAGACTACAAAACATAAGTCAATAGGAAAGTATAGTTCTTATGGTTCTTGCCCAAACATTAGTAAATATGGTGTAAAATCTGTGGCATCACATCTGTTATAGTTGTACATATAAACTAAAGATGCCTCAGAGATTTTTTTTTACCTTTTAGTGTTCTCTATATGTTGATCAAAGTTTAATTGTAATGCTCAGGTGGTGGGTCTCTTTGAAGGCGGTAATATGTTCTTGATTCCTTAATACTTGCCAAAACTAACATTTCTATGCCTTTAAAGACCCTAAATTGGCCAGAATAGATCCTAGCAGGGAACTGATAAGTGGAAAAATACTTTTATAGTGCTCTAACAGCTGTGAGTTTTCTTGTTCCTTAGTGGATTTGTGTATGCCTGGTAAAATCATAGATTATAGATTAAGGGGCAGCTAGATGGTACAGTGATAGGTGGTACCAGCCCAGGAATCAGAAAGAAGGACCTGAGTTCAAATGAGGTCTCAGACACCTACTAGCTGTGTGACTCTGTGTATGTCACTTAACCCTGAATGCCTCCCAAAAAATTGCCAAATGTAGATTATAGATTTAGAGTTGGAAGGGACTTTAAAGGATATCTAGTCCAACACTGTGATGTTACATTTAAGAAAATGGAGCCCTAAAGAGGTGAGGAATCTTGTCTAAGATCATGAGACTAGTAAGTGATGGAGGCAGGACGCAGATATCCAGAAAGGATGTTACTTGCCAGTAAATGGCAGAAGTAGAATTTGAATATATTCTTTGATGAGAAACTAAGTTTTCCCCCCTTGTATCCACGGCCTAATCACTATTAAAATCTGGCTTATATTCTTACTTTCTTCTAACAGGGATAAAAAAAATCAATGCATATAAGTTCTAAATAAATGGTTTAATATTTTAAATGTTATTTTGCTGTTGTTCAGCCATTTTTCAGTCATGTCTGATTCTTTGTGATCCCATTTGGGGTTTTTTTGGCAAAGATACTGGAGTAGTTTGCCATTTCCTTTCTTTTTTTTTTTTTTTGCTAGGCAATGGGGTTAAGTGATTTGCCCAGGGTCACACAGCTAGTAAGTGCTATGCGTCTGAGGTCAGATTTGAACTCAGGTCCTCCTGACTTCAAGGCCAGAGCTCTATCCACTGCACCACCTAGCTGCCCCTGCCATTTTCTTTCTCTAGCTCATTTGACAGACAAGGAACTGAGGCAAATAGGGTTAAGTGACTTGCCCAGGGTCACAGAGGTAGTGTCTAAGGCCAGATTTGAACTTAGGAAGATGACTCTTCCTGACTCCAGGCCCAGTATTATTTACTATGCCAAGTAACTGCCCCAAGTGTTATTTTAAATATATTTAAATATTTTCCCAATTAAAAAAATTAACAAGTATTTGTTAGCCAACTATTCTCTGCCAGGCACTATGCTAAACATTTAAAAAATATTATCTCTTTTGATCCTCACAAGACCCCTGGGAGCTAAGTATTACTATTATCTTCTTTTAACAGATGAGGAAACTGAGGCAGATAGCAGTTGGACTTATCCAGAATCACAAAGCTACTAAATGTCTGAGGCCATATTTGAACTCCGGACTTCTGACTCCAAGCCCAGTGGAGTCCACTTTGCCACCTAACTGCCCCATTAGCATGAATTGATAACACTTCTCTAAGCATATCAGGTGCAATTCTTACACTCTATGATACCTGCTGCCATTAAAAGCCAATAAAATGAGATGTTGTTGTATTAAAATAGCCCTGGGATTGTCTCTTTTTCTACTTATAGAAAGTCATCACACAGTGCTTTCGTGGTCATAGATAGACACGCACGGGGAGCACTAATGATTTTCTAGTACCTTGCAGAGGATCAGTTACATAGCTCTAATTTCTGCAATTGTCCTGGCAATAAGGTACTTGCCAGGGAATAACATTTGAGTTGTTTAGCTTAATTTTCTTGTTTCTTGATTTGTGTTATTCTTACAGTCCTTTATCAACTACCTGCTCTCTCTTCCAGGCAACTGAAGCAAAACTTGTTAGTTTGATTAAATAAGGTCCACATATGCTGCCGAAACACTGGCTAGTGGAAGTCTTAAGCTCTTAGCTACACTGGCATTTGATTTTGACTAGCTCCCTGGGTATCACCTATAGCTTTCCCTCCATCCTTAGGTACTACTATAGTTTTAGGGCCACATGATTTTTGAGACAGAGCATCAGTATCCACATTAGTTTTCTCTGCTAGGGAGAGTATTCATTCCTGATAAACAACATCTAACTTGGCACTGTTCAAAATACAATCAGAAGATTGTTATTGGTCCATACTTTAAATTTAGCTTTATACTTATAGTCTTTGAATTTTTTGGTGACAGTTCACTTCAAAGCTAACAGCTCCAATTTATTTGTGGGATAGTGAGTCTCTTAGTCCTGTGTCACTAAGCTTTCTACTGTCAAAAGCAATCAGTTTCTCTTAGTACAAGATGAGGATCTTGGTACAAGACTTAGGACCCTAAGCCTTCTAAGCTAGCATCTGTATATAGGACAAAAGCCTTTTTTAGATCTGCACAGGCAAAAAATGTTACATGTGTGAGGCAACTCACCAAATCTTTAAAAACTTCTTTGCAGTTATCTGTAATTTGTTGACCTTTAGGAGAAATATAACCTCAGTTTTAATATTTTTCCCATGAAGAGTATGGGTACTATTGTTGTATCTTAATGCAAGGATCTCCACATCATAGAGTTAAGAATCTATGGGCCTCTCATGACCTACTTTTGTTGTCTTTAATCATATATCCACAGATAAGATCATTCAGCTTATCAATAGTAGCATAATTCTTTACAAATTGGTGAGAATAACCCCCAGATTCTAGAAAGGTTCTTGATCTTGTAGGTTTCTTGGATATGGACATTTAAGGAGTGCTTCCATTTTCTTTGGGTCAGTGTGTACTCCTTGCTGAGATACTACACGATCCATATATTTAATAGAGGTTTGGCAAAATTGGCAATTGTCAATAAATAGCTTGAGATCAGCCTTCTCTAGTCTAGTGGTCTCCAAAGTAGGTGGCAGGGCATAACCCCAGAAGGGTTATGGTCTTACCCCAAAGGGTAATATGACTTTCTTTCTTTCTTTCTTTCTTTCTTTCTTTTTCTTTCTTTCTTTCTTTCTTTCTTTCTTTCTTTCTTTCTTTCTTTCTTTCTTTCTTTTCCTTCCTTCCTTCCTTTTTCTTTCTTTCTTTCTTCCTTCCTTCCTCTTTCTTTCTTTCTTTCTTTCTTTCTTTCTTTCTTTCTTTCTTTCTTTCTTTCTTTCTTTCTTTCTTTCTTCCTTCCTTCCTTCCTTTCTTTTCTTCCTTTCTTCTTTTCCTTTCCTTCCCTCTGTCAAAAACATACCTTTGTGTGTAGGTGCTCTGCCCAAAGGAATGTAAATTTTGATTGCTGCAACCTCACAAGATATCTTGGGGTTTAGGGGCTAGATTTCTCTCTTAAGGACCATGCCTTAAATCCAGTTCACTCTGGCTGTCATTGATTGGCCAACAGTAGGTCCCAGGCCAGCCCCACTTGTTCACTCTGTGGGCCCAGATGTCTCAGAGTGAATGTAAATAACAGTTGTTTCTGTTTTGGCCAGAAACCCTAAGGGTCTTCCCCTCCCATATTTATTTTTTTTTTTTGACTAGGTAAAAGAAGCCATTCTCTGCCTCATTTCTCACCTAGCCTTAATT